AGAGAGACAGAAAGACAGAGAGACAGAGGGACAGAGGGGGTAATGAATGACTGTTTTATCATACTTGTGCTACTCTATAGCAAAAAAAGGACAGAGATGGCCATAGCTGCTACAAGTGGCAGGCAGCCAGTTGGGGCTATAGAGGAGAAAAAATAAAGACCAGACAGAAAAAGAGAGAGAGAGAGATGGAGAGACAGAGAGAGAGGGAAAGAGCGAGGGGGTAAGAGAAAATAAATGAAAGAGAGAGAAAGGTAGAGAGGAAAACAGAGTGAGAGAATGAAAGAAAGAGAGACAAAATGAATGAGTGTTTTGTCATACTTATGCTACTATATAGAAAAATGACAGAGAGGCAGTCAAAGCTGCTACAAGTGGCAGGCGGCCAGCATGGGGAGAGAGAGAGAGAGACAGAGAGAGAGAGAAAGAGAGAAAGAGAGAGAAGGTGAGTTGCACACAAAGAGAGAGAACGGGGGATAGAGACAGAGAGAAAAAGGCAGAGAGAATAGGAAAAAAGCAGAGAAAGAAAGAGACAGTAAAATGAGAGGGCAACAGAGAAAGAACGCAAGAGCGAGTGAGGCAAAGCGAGAAAGAGTAAGAGTGGGAAAGAGAGAGTGAGAGAAAGCAAGCTGAGGAGAGAAAGAAAAGGAAGAGATAAATAAACAGTGAGAGGTGTGTGAGGGAAAGAGAGAGAGAGAGAAAAAGAAAGAGGGCAAGAGATGAACAGCAAAAGGGTGAACAAGAGAGGAAACGAGTGAAGAAAAGAGAGAGAGAAGGAGCTAGTGTACCATATCCTCTCTCTCCTCTGACAGTGATGAGTAAAATGTGCTGGCTGGGTCGTGGAGCTCAGGACTGACAGCATTATCTGTCACCCCCTCCCTCCTTTTCTCTCCCGTCTTTCTTTTTTCCCCCCTATCCCTTTCTCCGCGTGCCCCTGGGCTATGTGAAATGAGACACCGCGCAACCAAACAACAGCTTTGCTCTTAAAACTTTCCCAGACTCTCTGGCTCTTTGATGTGTGTGTCAGCGGGCCATCATCTCTCCGCTCCCGCTCCTCAGGCCCGTCGCCAGGGACGACGGCAGCTCATTTGCATGAGGTGGAGTGGCTGCCTGTCAGAGTGGGTGACCCCCGGAGGGGGTGGAGCCCCGGAGCCACAGGCTAAACACACAGGACCACTGGGCTGTATATGTTCATTAGTGGCTCACTAGGTCAGTGAGAGAGAAAGAGAGAGAGAGAAAGAGAGAGAGAGAGAGAGAGAGGGGGAACGCCCTGACCTGTACAATAACAAAACAGAGGAAGATCCTGAGAGATAGAGAGAGCAAAGAAGAGAGAGAGAGAGACGTAAAACTTTGTAACATGCTTTGGCAATACACATGTAACACTGTCTGTCACGCCAATTAAGCACCTTGAATTGAACTGAATTGAGAGAGAGAGAGAGAGAGAGAGCGAGTAAGAGAGAGAAGAGTTGTAATTGTTGTTGTTATTATTGTTGTTACTGTTAGTGTTATTATGCTGTGTCAATGTTGTACTTGATACAGTCATACTATTAAAGCTATCTTGAACTGAGAGATAGATAGAGAGAGAGTGAGAGAGACATAGAGATAGTATATATCTCAGGACTCTGTGTGTTCAGTGGGCTCTGCAAGGCCTCTAGGGCAGCAGCAGTAGTAGTGGTGTGAGTCACCCTCATATGACAGGCAAACGTGTCAGACCCCTTCCACTGTGAAGTCTCATTATTTTAACACACAAAGACAACGGTGCTGTTTACCAGCCCATTCATGCTCTGATCTACTCCCGCTTTATCTCCCCAATCCCCCCTCCACTGCACCCCCCACCATACACCCCACCATCCCTAAAGACCCCCGACCACAACACACTCGCTCCACAAGAGTGAGGGATGGAGAGAAAAAAGAGGAAAGAGGATGGGGAGAGAGGCAGACAGAGACGGGGGGTGGAGGGTGGGGGCTCCTTTTTGATGTCTTTGCTAGTGTTCAAGAAACAAAGGGGTCTAATTGTAAATGAGCTAATTAAGTAAACCGCTAACGAAGCATGAAAACAATTTGCTTGACCCGACGGAGGAGTGCGCAAGGGACGCTGGGGAGAGGAAAAGAGAGAGAGAGAGAGAAGAAAGAGAGAGGGAGCTAATCAGGGCCTGACAGCAGTGAGGAGTTACGGGCAGCTACCTGACAAGACACACACATATGCTCAAAACCAGGGGATAGGGCAACAGAAAGGAAAAGGGGTTTCAAGGGATATGTCACTATGGTTACTCAGTGGGGCATGACCTGCAGACATGTGCAGACTGGCTTCCTGGAAGAAAGCATTAAGTGCAGCTTTGGGGGAAAGTCATGTGAGAAAGCCAAACTGAAGCAAGAAAGTCTAGAAAAAAAAACTAGGCGACAGACTGAGCATCCACATCAGGGTCAAGTTTCAGATTCTGCCATCTTCATAACTCATCACAATGAGCAGTTTTATTGGCTTTAATAGCTGAATGAAAGCTTCACTACTCAACATGCTGATACTGTAACATGGGCTCATTTTAAAGTGGAAATACTGATGATTTTTAGCTTTCAAATATGTCACTGCTGTAGCTTTAGGCAGCTCAAAGTATTTAACGAACAACTGGTAAAAAATAAACGAATAAAACAAGATCATGGCATAGTGGGCTGCTGTGACATCTAGTCAGGTTCTTGCTACTATGCAGCTCCTATAGACTGGTTGTTTACAGACTTAAGCCACAGTCATACTGAACACGGGTAAAATCTGCCTTGCGAGAAAGCCAGTTCACTTGAATGGGAAAAGACACAAGAATGTAAAAATCAGCTCACTTCTGGCAGTGTTAAATCTTGCCTCATGTCAGGTTCATCTAGGTGAACTTTGATGCAAATCTGGGAACCGTCAGCCAATAGCATAAAATGCTGTGGCTTCTTCATTCTGAAAAATGTCACTTGTCACAGTTGCAATAAAAAGTTACCTAATTTTAACTGTTTTATGGAACTATACGCTCCCTCCAAAGCCAATGAGAAAAATAGCGAGGCGGCAGTCCAGTGTGACTGTAGCTTTAGAGTGATCTAAATCTGTCTTTTTTTAAGGTGCAGCCTGTATCTTGTACTTAAAAAGAAGCAAGACGCTCTTCTTAGGGGGCATGTTAACACATTTGATAAGTAAGTAAACATGAGAGAGAGTGACAATCAATAAATATTTTGAAACTGACACATACAAATGAATAGACTATTCAGATTTTATTGGACAACAGCCAAAACTAGCTTTTCCTTCATGCTGAAAAAGTGACTGATATTGATTGGTCAGGCGTGGATCATGCTTTTGTGTGTGCTCAGTGGCTTTTCAGTTTAATGCATGATTTTAAAACAGAAGTCTGTTGTGCAGGCTGGAGGAGTGCTTTTCGGTTGCTCCATAGACAATGATGAAAAGAAGAGTGCTTGAGAGAGTTGGAAGAGGCAGCATTTGAACGTCATCTGCAGTGGTTCAGTGCTGAAGGTGCATTATAAGCACTCAGAAAAGTGCATTATATTTTAAGCAACAGTTAGTTCCAAATATATAGTGTGATTGGTTGAGAGGCATTTTACCCATGCTTATATCACATAATACATTTCTCACTACAGCTGGATTGTTCTGCTGAGCAACGGTAGCTAAGTAATGGCTTGTTTTATGCTACAGCTAATCGTTACTACGTTTCTACTTGTTTTTAGCACTTACAAAAACAGAAATGGATAAAATTTGATAACTTTTATGAGACAATATTTGACTTTCAGTCCAGTTGGTCAGATTGTTCATCAGTTGACAGCTATGACAAAACAACTAAGCAAACTAAAATTAGCCAGAAACAAACAGAATGCAATTTTGCAAACAAGATGGGCTGTAATCTGCTTTACAGACTGGACTGAACAAAATTATATTAAGGTTAATCTGGCAAATATTGAAAAAGCTGAGCTGAATGAGTTTTATGGTTCTACCCAAAATGCGAAAGGTAGAAGGACTTGCGTATACTAAAACACATTTGATACAATGTTCAGAGCTTGTTTTACTTTTTTATTTATTTTACAGGACTGTTGCAATAGAACACTTGAGGTTGTGCATTATCGCAAATAACATGACAGCTCTGATGAAGGATTTTACTCACATTCGGCTCATGCATGTGACCGAATGTTACACGCGATAACGCTCTCCCTCTCCTGTTCTGCTGCTTAAACTGATCACAATAACAACAATGTATTATTATATCGTCTACCCCTGGTTCACAAACAGTAAATGCTAGAATGTTCTTTGTAGCTCAGAACTACTTTTAAGCGCATATCTTACTCACAGGTAAACCATGAACTAAACTCATATAGTACTACATAACTGGTGAAAGCCACTGGTGTTCCCCTTTAAACAGTGACAGGGGACATTGTCAGTGTGTTTAATTTGACAGTGATGTGTGTTTCTAGCATGGCTGCCCTCCAGTTGTACACAGTGTTCAGTCCCACACCGACGGAGAATCTCTCACTCCTCCACCAGCAATAATCTCTCTCTCCTCCACCTCGCTGTGGAATTCATCCCTCTCTTTTCTGTTCAAACATGATACCTAAAAACCGATACCACTCTCTCGATCGTGCTCTTTCTGGTTCTCAGGCTCATATTAACCTGTTTGCGTGACAGAGTGACGGAGAGTGCTTATTTTGTCACCAAACCGCAAGCTCATCAGATGAAGCACATGGAAGATGAAGGGACATTAGCTACAGCAAAGCTAAGTTTGTTTGTGGAAGACGGACGGCAGTGAATGTTGGGTCATCATCAGTTCATGAGAGTTAAAGCCCAGTTGTTGCAAATGAAACTAACGTAAAATATGTAATTACTGACGTATGCCATAGGTCTTACGAAAATGACGAGGCCTAACTTCTTGGTGCTATAACATCTTTAAAGGACAGGAGTTCAACTCCCTCGCTTTAGATGGTTTAGGTGTTGTGTGTATGAGTGGGACAATACTTGACTGACAGTCACTCACTTGATAAACTGGCCCATGTCTTCACAGAGCGCCTCGCAGCCTGGCCATTTACACTCGCCGTGGCCATAGAGCGGATGCGAGGCTGTGTGCTCCTCATGGGTTGAGCTGAAGGACAGAGAGAAAAGAAGAGGAAAATTGGTTAGTTTGTGCCTCTCCAGCTGAAAACTCCCACAACATAGATTCTAAAATATCTACTACAAAATCTCACTGCCATTACATTACTCAACAACATACCCATCAGCTACAAAGGTGAGAGACACTGTTTAAATCAGTGGGAAGCTGCACTAAAAGCGTCATTCAGAGAATATAAAGAATAATGCCTCTATAGGGGCATAATAAGGATTGCAGCAGGTGAAGTTTCTTAAAAAGAATAATAAGATGAATACTGTTTGCACAACTAGTCAGACAGACAAAAATTACTTTTTCATTTAAGGAGAACATGTATTTTGATTGTTGCAACAAAACCTCATATTACAAAAATTGTAACTTCACAGGAGACGGAAAAACACTCATAATGGTCTATGTAAGTTAATGTAAAGAGATTTTAATCCAAATTATTTTGACTTATTCAATTGGTCCGTAAGTCCTGAAATTTTCACACAATGTAAACAAGAGCTGGTGACAAAAATGGAGACACAAGGTTCTGTTCCGACCCTGATGATACACAGTGCCCCAGTTTGTCTCTGGTTTTCCTACAAAGTCAGAAAATCAGGACTTTTGTCCTCAAAATGTACAAAACACACACAGACTCTTCTAGAACTGTGGCAGGTTAAATAGCTTTTAGACATAGTGTGGCCCCAAACTGCTTGTCAGCACATAAATGCACACCATTCGACTATTACATAGCAATGAAATCTGACATCCAAGTCTCAATGGTGCACCACTGCTGAAAAAGCGTGCATACTTCTCTTGCGGGCTGGAAAGCTTGGACGTTTCCAGGGTTTTTTGACATATCTTCTGAATGGCAGCGTCCTTTCAAAAACACCTGATGTGAGTGACATTGTATCCTCTGTCAGCTTCCAACTTCTTTCAAAGCGTCCAAAAACAGCCAACCACGAACGAAAGGCCTAAAAACATTCCGCCGTTTCTCGCCAACTTCTTCAGCCATCTCGCTTACGGATAAGGTGGCTTTGAAGCACTGACAGAGTGAGCTAGTGGAGTGTGTTGGGGGGTGGACTTGTGTTTAGTTTGAGATGCTGCCATTGTGTTTGTTGTGGGCGGGCAGCTGGAGTTGCAGGGTTTGGATCACGTCTTCTGGTCTGGCTTCTCTAAAGACCCACAGCAGTTTTGTCTCTCTCTCTCTCTCTTTCTCCCTCTCTCTCCCTTTTTCATTCTCTTCCTTTTTGCTCTCTGCCCTCTCTTTCCTCTTCTCTTTCTTGCTTTCTCTCTTTACCCTCATCTTTGCCTCTCTGTCTGTCTTCTTTCCCTTCTCTCATCTCTTTCTGTCTTTTTCTCTCCCTCTTGTCTGTCTTTTTTCTCCCTTCTTCATCTCTTTCTCCCTTTCTTCCTCTCATCTTTTTATTTCTCTCTATATATTGCTCATTCTCTTTTCTTGTGTTTTCTCTCTTCTTTCCTGCTTTGTCTTCATCTTTCTCTTTACATTTTTCATTCTCTTCTCAACTTTGTGTTTCATTTTTTCATTCTTCATCTTTCTTCAACTCTCTCCCTAAGTTTTTTCTCTCAGCTTCTTTCTCGTCATTTGCCTTTTTCACTTCTTGCCTCGTCTTGTTGTCTCTCTTCTCCCTCATCTCTTTCTCTGTATTTTTCTTATTTCTTTCTCTCATTTTTCTCTATTTCTCTTTCTCTTTTTCTCCTTCTGTCTCTCTCATTTGCTTCCTCTTTCTCCTCTCTCTCTCTTTATCCCTTTCCCCCTCTTTCTCCCCTGATCTCTCTCTCTCTCTTTTTCTCTCTCTCCCTCTCTCCCTCAAACAGGCATCTTTCATTTCAGTCCCTGGCTAGCGGCCATGGGTTAGCATGTAGTGCAGGCTTTAGCAGGAGCATTGCGACCGCAGTATCTTCTGTCATGTGTCTGATTGCTGCTAAGCATGAGTTAGGGTAAGCGTGTGTGTGTGTGTTTTGCTTGTGGTGGTTGAGGGTCCGGGGAACTCTTCCCAAATCCACATCAGAGTGCTGTTTAACGCAAAGCAGCTTGCTTGCAGATGAGGTTCCCCCTGATGTGGAGCGCACACACACACACACACACACACAGACACACACTCCATTCTCTTTGTCAGATGTGCTGGCAGTAGAGAGCCCACTCAATTCAGAAGCTGCTCCGTCTCTAGACATTACAAACTACTGGCAACCACACTGTCCACATGCGCCATGCATTAGCCTCGCCGCACTGTTTTTCTTCTGCTCGGCATGTGTGTGTGTACGCGCGTGTATGTGTGTGTTTGTGTGTGTATAACTTTGGCCCAGCATGAGCACACAGTCAGAAGAAATGAAGGGGTTAGAACACCCAGTAAAATGGAGAACAGAGAACACACACTGACTTCACCAAGCCCATGCATCATTACGAGGGTGTGTGTTTGTTTGTGTGTGTACTCACTGGGTGCTCTGCAGAGGAGTGCCTTTGGAGTAAGGCGTGAGATGCTCGTCACTGGACTCCCCCTTGGTGAAGGACGAGATCCACTCAAAGAGTCTTGCTCTTTAAAAATGGAGAGAATCCGTCAGGACCCCCAAACAAGGGGCCACATACACATGCTTGCTTTCATACAATGTTAGGAGATGGACGTGGCCATATATATATATATATATATATATATATATATATATATATATATACTTAGCACTGTGCAAAAGTCAGAAACCACAAGTAGTTAATTTTTCAGAGTCCGGAAAAAAACATCTATATTACAGCTTCCTTTCTTTTTAGGAGACTTGCTTTCAGTTTTGCTAGGAATTCTGCAGAGATATTTTTCCACATCTAAAAAAGTTCAGTATTAGAAGTTGTTGGCATTTTCTGCTTCTCATAATCCATGGAATCCAGAACACATTCAGTGATACTGATCCAAGGCTATGAGTCTGAAAGGATGTGTAGCTGTCAAGAAGCTGTAAATGAGAAAAGGAGGGAAGAGAGAGCAAAATCTGCAAATCAGCCGCTCCAAACCGCCCCACAGTCCAGACCTCAAAATCGCCAAATGTCTTTGTGATTTCCTGGATTATGAGAAGTTGAAAATACAAACTGAACTTTGAGGTGTGGAAAAATGTTCCAACAGATTCCTTTGTTAAACTGAAAGCAAGTCTTCTGAAAACAATGAAAGCTGTAAAAATGGCGACACACTGAACAGTGAAAAAATACATTATATTTAGTTGTTGAGGCTTCAGTGTAATTTTCTGTTAAGTACATGTTTTCTGTTTTTTTACAGAAGGCATGGAAAAATATCCCTGCGGATATTTTGAAAAACTGAAAGCAAGTCTCCTGAAAAGAATAGAAGCTGTAATAAGGGCAAATGGTGGACACAATAAGCACTGAAAATGGCTGTCTTGACTGGAAACTAAATAAATGAAGGGTGGTCTCTCACTTTGCACAGTACTGTACAAAACCTATCATATATGTATAAATGTAAGTACCTGTATGTAATAAGACTTTTTAAGACTAATCCGCCTAACCTAGTAACACAGTTAATAAAAACAAAAGTTCCACCCTATCCATTTAAAAACTAAACTTTAAACTTTATAAAATCACAATTACTTTTTTTGGTCCTCACATTATAAGTTATCCTCTGCTCTTTGTCCTGAAAACGTACAAAAACAAGCACCACACTTACGCACACACACACCTTTCCCACCTGGACTAAACCAGTGCACTTTTATCTTCGCCACACACACACACATGCTAAACTAACACAGAGGCGCCAGGGACGCTAAAGGCATGCTATATTTTGAAGAACTCGCACAAGCACCAAATATTAAATTAACCCAGGGCACTTTACACCTGCACATCAAATGAGACCCTGACAGCACTGGCCATGAAATATTAGATTTGAGAAAACAAAACACATGTTCATGAAATTTGGGCATTTCAGCAATGTGCCACTTACTTACAGGATGTACTTCATCTGAAAAATACCATGCTATTCATATCATACCCCAGATGTGCTTTTAATACCTCATCAGTCTTCCATTTGGCCCACATTCCAGTGTCAGAAACTTCTCAAAACAGCTATTACAGAGTGAGGGTCAAAGGCAGAGGCATAATCCACATTAACAATACATACCTACCTCTGAGGCTGTGTGTTTTGAGCTTTCGCATTTGAGGCTTTACTCACCTGTCTCTCTTTGGAGTGTGCACAGAGTTCTGTCCATTTGGCAAAGGATGATGGGGGATCTGAGGTGAGACCTTGGAGGCCGAGTATGAGGTAGAGTTGGAGCTGTTGGTGCTCAGGTCGAGGCCTTCATGCTTAATGGCCTCCTCTGCGCTCTGCACGCTCGCCACATCCTTCCACAGCTGCTGCAGGTCCGTGGGACACATGGCTGAAGAGAGAGACAGAAAGAAAGAAAGAAAGAAAGAAAGAAAGAAAGAAATCACTTTAAAAAAGGAATCTGAAGGAAAACATCTAAAGGAATCAAATAACTAAAGTAAATAAAAAACTAAATCGTTTTTTGTAAATATGTTCGTAAATGTGGTAGTGCTTCAAAAATATTCAAGAATTTTATTTTGTCCAAAAAATAAGCACATACTGTATTGTATATTATTGCAATCAATTATAATCCATTATAACACTCTTAAATACACACTCCAGGCCAAACATTTGAAAGCAACCCAAACTTATTTTTTCAAGGCAAAACAGAAAGTGAAATAGTTATTTACATAAAGTAAAAGGGTTAGAGGGTTAAACAACAGCGCTAGTGTACAACTAACTGATTTCTCATCTGTTTCGCTCCTGGTGATTCTCTTGCAGCTCTAATCAGATCCACTCACTCAGATGCTCCCGAAAGTTTTTTAAAAGATGTGAATGTCAAGAATGTATAAAGAACTGATGAAAGTAGAGTAGTTATCAACAAAGAGCGTGAAAGCTTTTTCACTGTAATATGTTACAGTGAGCGATCACTACAAACTAGTGAAATACTGTGGAATAGACCTCTATTGCGTTGGTTGTTGATAAATTAACTCAGTTGTAAAATACTTCCATATTTTTGTCCTGTAGTATAACTGAACTTCACAAAAACAATGAAAATTGGGTCTCTATTAAATTGGGCATTATTAAGAGAAGTAGTTTGCATGCACTACAAAGACTATACATAAGCGATCATTTTATTTGTATTTCCGCTGAGATGCAACAGCCACAGGCTGTGAGAGATACTCTAAGTGTGTGTGAGGAGTGATGGGGATGCCTCCTCTTTATCACCCCCTCCCTCCTCCAGCCTTTTCTTGAACGCATGCCAACTGGCACAGCGCGTCTCTCCCTGGTAGATCATAAAGCCTTGCAGCACGCTGACATTAGCATGGCAAACCCATAAAACACCAGGCTTGCCCCACGCCACACTCGGCCGGGTGAGCGGGACTTGTTAACTTCGTGGGAGAGCAGCAGCAGCAGCAGAAGAGGAGGAAAAGAAGCTTGTCCCAAATCGGAGGAAGCGAGCAGCTAATTCCAGCATGTTTTTGTTAGCTTTCCACATCTCTGCAATTCCCCCGGCTGCCCCTATTTGTAATTATTGCTGTCCCGACCAACATCGCTGCCCCCTTCTGTCACCGGCCGTATTAATCTTGGCGAGGTACTTTCTTTTCTCTCTCTCTTTTTTCCCCTACTCTTTTTTTCCTTCAAACTTGCTGAATTCAGGGTTGTTTTTGTTCCTCTCACTTTTCCTCTACTTTCAGCCGCAACAGAGGAGGGGGCTGCAGGTTGAAGCAAGGGGATGGAGGGAGTGAAGAAAGGCAGAAGAAGCAGGAAAGGAGGAGGGAGTAATTCCATTGGTCACTTTACACCACCATCCCCACCAGCCCCCACCCCCCATCCACCCTACCCTGAGCATGTCTGGCGCAAGCTGTTCCCGAAAAGCCACAGCCTGCTATGCTATCACACATGGCAGGGACTTAATAGCAATCCAAATATTATGTCTGGTGCGTCGGCATTCTTGTCTCGAGCCCCGCCAAAACAAAACTCCTGGCTGGGGCCTCTGCTCTTGGCTCTCAACAGGACGGGTGCTGGGGGGGTGATCTGCAGCACCACTTTAAGCTTCTGACCTGGCCACCCCCCTCCCCCTTTATGAGACAACCTGCCGAAGCAGCAAAGAGCCACTGGTCCCCTCTGACCCCTACAAATCACCACTGGTGGGGCAAGAGACACAGCAATGAAGAAAGAGGGGAAAAGGAAGACGGAGAGAGAGAGACTGAGTGAACCAAGGGCGATACAAGAGAGAGAGAGAGAGAGAGAGAGAGAGACAGAGACAGAGACAGAGAGAACAAGACTGGGTGAGCCAGGGCAATTTGCAGGCCAGAATGTAAGTGAGAGAGAGAAAGAGAGAGAGAGAGGATGCAGGGTGGAGACAGAATGGTTTACCTACCATGAAGTGTTTTTGTTTCTCACTTTCTCCCCAACACACACACACACACACACACACACACACACACACAGACACACACACACACACACACACACGCACACACACATACAGAGGGGCAGGTGGGGCGTTTCCTCTGTGGCTAGACTCCAGTGCTTTTTCTCAATGCCCACAGCCACCCCTCCTCGAACAAATATGCATGCACACACAAATCAAACACCTCCATTTCGAGACCACCGAGCTAAGCACCCAAGAGAAGACCATGCAATTCCAGAAATCTCTGTCTTCCTGAAAGAGCAGCATATGGTTTATGCTTTCTTGTGCATGTATGTTAATTCAAATATGTTTGCAAAGACAAACTGTTCTAAGCAAAACTACAGTTTGCCTTCCCTACACTTCTTTTAACCCCTTACACTATGGTGGCTCTATGATTTCTCAGGCTCATAATTATATTCCTTACATAGTAGTTTCACGGTAGTTACTAAATAATCCACAGTAGGTACTGGACACCAAGCCTTAAAGGAATCCTTCAGCGTGCTTTAACCTAATGTCTATCGGCCACTACTGCATCATACTATCTATTACCACAGACAGTCGTTCAGCAGAGTTTCCCTGTATTTACAAGACAACATACAGTCATATGTTTTAACACCCCTGATTGCATGTTTTGTTGATTGTGAAAGTGAAGTGAAAATAAGTTAACACAGCCTTTACGGAGAACACACTTTTAAACTCACACACTGTTAAATTCCGAAAGTACACAGTGATCGTGCATTAAAATGTGCAGAAGTGTGTTTTCTGTAGAAATTTTCAATCAGAAATTCAACAAAACATGTTATTTGACCAGGATTGTCCAAAATGTTGCATTCAATTGTATTTCTGGATGTTTTCAATTCTTTACGTCCTTTTATCTTATTCTATTGGTAGATTGTTTGCTTGTTTAAAGCCATAATACAGATCATTTTAGTAATAATAGTCCAAACAAGCATATGATCTGCCGACAGAACGAGGCAATTTCTCTAGATAAAATAACAAAAAGTCTATCAATATTCATACAACAATCTCAAAATGAGAAACATACTATATAATCCAACTAGACTGAAGCTGATTTCACTTAACAAGACAGTTCTTTCGCAGTATAAAAGCCAGAGGGCAGGTGCTTCAACATCTGCCCACTGACCTCATGAATATGTTTTGAGTCAACATGTTTTCTGTTCTTTTACACAGTGCAGGGCAATTCCATAAAAAGTCTGGGGTAACTGACTGTATACTACAGATGTGACAGATAGACATTTGATTGGAAAACATAAGAGTATTCATTAAAAATCAACAGCTAAATAATAAGACTAGTTTAAAGGGGTTAATGTTCTTATGGCTGTTGCTTTTTAATATTAAGCACAGTGAGGGCCCAGTAAGTGGGCTGCAGTGACGGACAGCACTTTCAGCCTATCAGTGTGTTAAATCTTCCACTGCCTGCCTTTCAGTCCCTCTTCCAGCCTGAAACAATGCAGATGAGAGGCCCTGTGAAGGAGGTGTAGAAAACTTTGACCGAAGAAACCATGATGCACATGACAGGTATTGATATTAGAAAAACAGCCACAGTTAGTCATCTCTCTACGGGATTTGGTATTGAGTCATTCACCAAGTCGAAAATGCCAGCCTGCCTGAGGGAGCGATTTGCGATGCGCAACAAACAAAAAACAACGCACTAGGCGGTGGCGCCACCCGTGGACCGGGAGGACAAATCCTTTTCAAGCGGCCGGCCGTGGCCAAGCATGACTGGCCTGAAGAATGTGCACGGTTGGCTGGCTGGCTTTAATGGAAGGCCTCTTTTCAGAGAGGGATTGCTGGGGAAATTCCACAATGCTGCTGCTGGCCTGTCGCGGCGATTCGAGGAAGGGAACCCAAGAGCCTCGGCTTTATTGTTCTTCTTTGGACCCCTCGGAACGATGATGTCAACAAGGGGGTGGTGGGCGGGGCTAGAAATGACATGCCAAGGCCAAAAGTTTGCAGCTGTCGAAAAAATTACGTCCCCTAAGCCTGCAAGCCTTCCATATAAGCTCTCTTGGTCTCTCTCTCTCTCTTTTCACTCTCTCTGTCTTTCCACCAGATGACATTCCTAAAAACAGCCTTCTATGTGTGTGCACACGTCTGCACACACGTGTGTACGTGTGTGTGTGTGTGTGTGTGTGTGTGTGTGTGCAACGGGCCGCTCAGGACAGAGCATGGCGAGAACTGTTTTCTTAAGATTGAAATAATCAGAGATGTCAGGGGCAATGAGAGCAAATGAAAGTCAAGCGCAGTAATAGACGGCCAGTCTCATTTCAGAGGCCCTCTCTCTCTCTCGAAGGAGAGAAGGGAGGGGAAGTCTGCTGCGGAAACTTGAGAAGCCTCCTTGTTTGTTCTCTCCTATTGAGGCTTTTGTAATGTTACGGTCACTGTGGAACCCGTAAAAAGCCATGTGTCTCGTTACGAAGCACGCCGGGGCCGGCCAGTTTGCAGTCAGGACTCATTTGCGGAGAGGCCAATTGACGAAACGAGGGATGTAGGAAAGTATATATAAGGCACACTTAGAGCAAAATAAAAAAAACTAACCAAAAAGCCTCATTTCCTCTGGCGGGATCAGTGCGTCTGGCCCACCTAAAACTCGAGGACACACACATACACACACACATACACACACATACACTTAGACAAGTGCACACAATCCTGCACAGAGACCAGTGAATTTTGTGGCATATTTTACCTATTATCCAAATGACTGCCTTCCACAAAACCAACAATCAAGTGTGCCTTTTATCTTTTTACGAGCTGATTAAGTTAACAAGCTTCACATGTGGCTCTGCGTACAGGGCTGTGGTTAGTCTCCGGGGGGTCACCCATCCCACTCTAATAGATTAAGACGATAGGTTGTTGCTCAGTTTAGAAGAAGGCCATGGAGGCGCTTGTTTTATAGCTAGCATTATTAGCGCTTGACACTGCGCGTGTACATGTTTATAGCAGGGGGGTCAGCTTATATGTGTGTACATATAGAAGGCCTACAGGCAAAAGTTGTACAGGCAGAACGTATGAGAGTAAGAGTTAGGCTGGCCTAGGCCTGTGAAGACCATCTGGTCCTGGGCTAAGTTAAGAATACACAGGCTGTGTTTATTTAGCATGCTGCATTTTTTCCTGGGCTACGCATAGAGTTAGCTTTCCTTTAATAGGCATCTCTAAAGAAGTGAACCCAGGGATGTGTGGTGTCCCAGTCACAGGCCTGGGAGAAGAGGAGGTACTGGATCAGAGAGAGACCACCTGGATGAGAGGCTTACGGGTGTAGTACCTCCCTCTGAGGCTAGGGGGAGCTTTAAGCAACATCCTAAATGGAGCAAAGGCAATTTAAGCTTGATTTCATTTGAGAGTTTATCGTTTTTTTCGTGTGAAATTATCAACAGAATAATGCCATACAAAATTGTTGATGCATCAATCTGAAGATGGTAAGTCAACTGCATCGATTTTGTAACTTTAGAAAGCATTATTATAATACTGAGTAAAGTATGTGCTCATTTTTTTTTTTGGCCAAAATGAAATTTTTTATCAAAACAAAAATAGTAAAAAAAAACCCCTCAATTTTGTGAATTGTTTTTGTATATACCTCACTCTACAAAAGTCTTATACACCTAAGCAGAACCGGTAATCTGTTCTTGCTTGTAAAAACACAATATTACATTAGAATAAATGCAAATCAATATCAATGCAGTAAAATGTACAAAAAAGTAGTTGATCTTATAAGCTAGAAGTTCTTAGATCTTATAAGTTAGAAGAACAAATTTTGTTTCTACAAAACTGTCACAAACTTGTCAACACATTGACACACACAGAATCACTATTTACTCTGTGAATGTTCTTTGTATTTTTTTTCCAGCACAAACAAACAACTGCTGCCCCAATAAATGGGTACATAAACATTTGCACGGTACTGTATGTATATTGTTTTTGTACTATTAAGTAAATACTTGCTCCAGTCACATTTGTGTATTTAATTTATTTTTAAGAATTATCCTGAATGACCAAACTAATCAGATCAGATCTCATGAAATAGTGGTGAAATTAGAGATCACCAAACAAAGAAAAATGAGTAAGAGTAAGTGTTTGAATGCTTCTGGATACTTGTGCATGTGTACCTTGCTGCAGGCTCTGTATGGGTACTGCTCCTTGGCCAGGCTGCAGGCTGACGAGGCCCTGCCTCTGCAGGTTGAGGATGTGCTGCTGCTGCAGCTGCTGCATCTGGATCAACTGCTGCTGGAAGGCCAGCTGTTTGTTGCCCAACTGCTGCTGCTGGAGAGAGAGAAAGAGAAAGAACGTTCAACAAGTTAAACAATGCAAAGGGATGGGAAAAGAGAGGAAGAGGCACAGAGAGTGGCAGGATGGAGAGGGAGGGAGAAAAGGAGACACTCATTTGCTTTTATAAGCCTTCAAAACCTCGACCAGGACATGTTTAGATAAGACACATCCTGGAATAGAGAAACTTTTTTCCCTTTGGTCACCACTGTGCTTCCTGCAGCAGTGGACATCAAGTGCCCATACACGAGGCAGCTGTGTGAAAAAAAAAAGTGTTTGCCTGGAGTCGTTATAGATAATGCACGATCTATGAGTGACTGCACATGTGGTCTGGAACCCACTCCACCATGTGTAGCAATCTGTTAGTATGTGGCTGCTGCACAAATTAACACAGCAATAAACAATGACAAACGACATCTGCGCATGATGTTAAGCACAGTTCCAAATTATATGACATCAGATGTTTATCATTTTACGATAAGGCGCAATTCTTGCCCCCGCCCACGACACACACACATAAAAATTCTCACTGTAACTCTAACCGAAGAAAAGTAGGGCCTCCAAAAATCCCCATTTAGAAAACAGGCCTAAATGTGTGCGGCACACTTAAAGTGGCTATGAGACTTAATCTATGATGTGTGCACTCCCAAGAAAAAGAGAGAGGGAGGAAAGGAGAGAGTTATCCCATTCGTTATCAGAGCTATGACATAAGGGCTGGAGCAGCAGGAAGAGAGCGGCCTCTCGGCTTCATCAAAAGCACACGGGCTGCCTAGAAAAAAAAAAAAAACACACCTCTGATCTCTGGCCAGGGCTAGAAGGAGTGAGGTGTGGGGGGGTGGCAAGTGTACCCCAGTAGAGTGGAGGAGTGAAAAACATGCACACACAGTCAAGAGTCCATCCATCTCTGGGGTGGAGAAGCTCAGATTTGGGGAGCCGGGCCGTGTGTGTGTAAGGGCTAAGGGTGAGCGCTGCAGACTACATGGCATGTGCCGATAACGTCAGGCGGTGTTGTGGTGATAAATGTCCCCCTTCCTGAACGGCTTTCCAGCGGGACGCTTTTTGATGTTCCCCCAAACGCGAGATGGGGCCTTATCACGCGCCAGATAACGGACAGAGCAGGGAGAGAGTACAGAAGGATGAAAAATACTGGAGGAGGAGAAGGAAAATAAATAAATAACAGCAGTTTCTCCATCTCGGGCCGCCGGGGCAGGCAGTCTCAGGGGGAAACACGGGCCAGTCGGGTCAATTCTAGCTGCTACAGGGCTAGAAATCCACTACTGCTATAAAAGCCTATTGAACCCACAGTAAAGCACTGCCTCTGAAATAAATCTACAGCTAACAGCACTCAGCATTCAAGCACCGATCTAGACCGGAGCGTGCTTCTGAGAAGTTTTGGAGAACTGAGTGACAATGGACTATGAGACAGATGTGGCCTGCTGCTGGGGGCACACCTGTTTATCACTTGGAAAACTAAATGATGGAGGAGGGTGATGACAAAGAGAATGAGAGCATGAGGGTAAAGAGAGAGCAGGAGGGAGGGAAGGAGGGAAAGAGGGAGAGTCTAACCTTCAAATATGTTGCTTAATTTTAATGTTTACCCTTATTGTTTACTTATATTTTTCATATTTCTGTCAGGGTTGTTTCTTTTTCCTTATTAAATTTCTTTGATATATTATCGTATTTAAGCTTCCAACTTTATGACTTTCTTTAAATCATTTCTTCATCTCAATTCTGTGCTTGTATATTACTGATAACATCGATATAACCTGTACAGGTTTGGCAACATAGATCATTTTCCTCTGTCATGTCAGTTAAGCATATTTAATTTGATTTGAGAAAGAGATGGAGATAGTGAGTGTGAAAGAGAAAGAGTGACAAAGAGATAAGCAAAAGAATGGAGTCCTAAACAACTACTAGAAGAAAAGGCACTTCTCATTTCCTTCTTTTTGTCCCTGACTGTTCAGTCTATCCTTTTCCACTCATCCCTCCCTTCTCCATCCACCTCCCCCTACTCTCTATGTCCATTTCTCACTCTCTCTCTCTCTCTCTCTCTCCGTCTGCGCTGTTCTCTTCTCTCCTCGCTCGCTCCCCTGGGACACGGTTCAAGTTCTTTAACACATTGTGTCTGCACGCTGTTTACATTAGATGCACTTGAGTGGCTAAAGCTAGCGGAGGAACAGGCCTGTCAGCTTGATTTATGAGCACATCAAACAGAGTTTGGGCATGCCAGCCACGAATGACAGGCCTACTTCATTAGGCTGACTCCGGGGTGACTCCACGGCCCAACCGTCAAACACACACACACACACACACACACACACAGAGAGCCGGGGAGAGAGAGCGAGAAATAACAGAGGCAAGAAAAAGTTTAAAATGCCAGAATTGACAACACACGCAAACGTGAGTGGCAACTGTCTCTCTCTCTCGATCTCTCACCTCATGTACATGCTGCTATGCTGACAAGAAGTGGAGCGGGCAGCAATTACAGTGTGCTTTACTGTTTTACTGCGAGAGGGAGCAAACTTCAGGCCTCCTCCACACATTTTCAATCCCTTTTAAAATCAAGGACTTTGTGTGAGGTGGCCTTGTCAGAACTTTACACACTGATGACATCAGCAGGTTACATCGCTTTCTTTTTTTCTTTCTTTCACCACTCCATGCGCTGTACACAAGTTCTGACTTAGCTCAGATATGATAAACCTTAATTTTAAATAACACACTGTATAAATTACATTATTCAAGATAAATGTCTCCTGGCAAGGGATATCCTGATCACCTCTTTTGGGCCTTGATTTTAATCCCAAGTGCAATCTGATATCTGTTTTTTTCACTGACACCACAGTCATACAGTGTACACTTCAAGTAAAATAAATATAACAAAACCAATCCAGTTTATGCAAGCTATATATGGGGAATGCGCTAAATTTGTCTTTAAAGTTGCTCTAACGTTCACAATGCAGGCCTACTCCTTTTTTATTGCTTTTTATTAGCTTTACTGCTAATAATAGCCACACATTCATTCAGAGTGGTTTGATGTGAAATAGTTCACTGTACAGGAGCTTACTGACTATAAAGTCTACAACAGCCATTTTATTTACTATCCAAAATGATCAGTGAACTTACATGTGTCTTCTGAGTTCTTATATGTAATGCTGATAGTGGTAAAACAGTGGTAAATCTAAAAAAAATGTTTATTTGAGGACTATTTTGCCTTAGAATGCTGTGCATGTACCTCTCCAACATGAAAAAATAGGTTTTAGGCAAAAATCTCATCTCAAAACTATCATAAAATGATATCAGGCATTTGGGCCATGTATTTGTAACCATTTAATGTAATATCTTACTGTGAAGCAGCTTTTAGAGGCATTAAACGCTTAGGACGTCTGGTTCCCATCATCACCACTGTGAAGTTTCTCTAGAACATAGCATTTCTCATTAAACCATGCTAAATGACTTTGTTTACATCTTAACTATTTAATTATGTGGATATTTTTGGAAATGTGGCCGCTAATGCTGGGTATCGAAATTTAATACTTTATGGTACCGACCGATTTTTAATGAGAATATCACAGTGTCACATAGTGTTTAAGCCACACCCACTCTCAGTCTCCAACACTGGCCTTTCATATTGGATTAGGACATCCCCACTACTCACTGCAAGGGCAGTCAGGGCGCACTGGTAAGCAGACTTGTAAGGCACATAAGAGAACAGGTGGTGTGTACTGGTGTGTAAGAATGTGTTGGTGAGCAGTTCATGTTTCTGAGCTGCTCTAGCTAACCCTTCTCCTGGGTTTACATGGAACAGTTAACAGGGGTGAGCGTGGGCCCCAGTGGACTAGCTGCCGGTTCTGGACTCAACCTGGGAATGAATCAGAGAGGAGGAGAGAAAGAGAGGGATAAAGGAGGGCTGCAAGAGAGGCAGAGGGAGGAGAGGCACGCATTCTTTTCTTTCACGCTCTCTTTTTCCTTCTCTCTCGCCTGAGCACCTCTCGCTTAGTCAAGCATGGACACAACTCTTTCCCCCCAGGGCGCACTCTACACACCGAAAACACACACACACACACACACACACACAAACAAACCATAACCCAGTCTGGACATGCATCTACCCCTTACACATCCTCCTTTCTGCAGTGCTATAACCTAGATCTGTTCACGTGACCATGTGTAGCCCACTAGCCCCAAGCTGACCCGTCCGTTTGCAGTGTGTAGTGATGAAGTGATATAAAAATGCTTGGCTAAAACTGAAATTCGGGGAAAAAAAATACACCACAACTGAAAACCCAAACCAAAATCTGTGCCATATTTTTTGTGATATTTCATATCATTTTAAAATTATATTAACTAATTTTGCTTTTGTGATTAGAATGAAGCTTTACTGAAAAACAGAAATGTGATGAAAAAAGTATATATTAATGAAAAGTCAGTGATCTTTGAGGACCAAGAGGAGTTAGAAGTTTTCGACCCTAACTGAAATTTCGGCAAATTAAATTTTCTCCAAACTGGCCTTTTAACTGAGACAGGAATGCAAATGTATTCCTTTTAAACAGTCCTAGTTTGTATTTGTAGCATTAAAAGATAATACTTTATTTTGATCCTATTAAAAAAATATTAAAAAAATGTCTCAGTGTTACTTTTTGGTAAAACTTTTCAATGTTCACACATGCTTGTTAGGTCACTCCCATCACACAGTGCTACCAAAATGAGAGAGTGAGAGTTAACATGTGCAAGTTAACAAGTGCATCTTTACAAACATGCTTAGAAGAGAGTTTTGGCTGCCAATTCTCTTAAGTCAGCTAACAGACATTTGACTTGCCTGGCTGCTCTTTAGGAAACCACCTGAAGTAATATTGAATAAGAAGATATCTGAAAAGTCCTGAGTCTTTAAATTAGATTAAAAAGATTTTTCACTCTCTCCAGAGCCTTTTCCTTCTTTCTGTTTTTTTCCTCCTTTTATCAGCCTTTGTCATGTTCCTCAGCTTTCAGGGAAATGTCACTGGAGGTGTGCATGATCTCTGGATCAACTGTGTGTTGCACATGGATCACAACTTAGAGCGTGCTCGTCTATCAACGTTTTTATGTGTCTCTGCCTGTGTGTTTGTAACTGTGTGTTTGTGAGTGAGTGTGCTGAGACACCTTGTTGTGCATTTGCCACGCATTTGCTCCATCAGTCACAATGCTGTCTGGGCCGTTTCTAACAGCTCTTAATCCCTCTTCTCTCTGGCCACACTGCTTTCCCTCAACCTGCCAGTAACTCCAGACCTTCTACAGCATACCTGCTACCTTCTACTGCTACCTTCATTTTTCTTCACATCTTTACAATACACTACAATATTAGCATTAGTTCATATATAGCACCAGTCAAAGTAGACATACCTGATCAAATGCATGTTTTCCCAGTCTCCAAGATTCTTTGAATTAAACACCTTTGGTTAAACTGGTTAAAGACTCAAAAGCGTTTTTTGTAAAGTTATTTAGATCTATATATATATATATATATCGCTGCTGTCTAAATAAAACCTTTTATCTCCATTTGCATCTCCTTTTCTCAGTTTTTGACATAATTTGAAAGTACCTGTTGCTCTTTACATTGTGTGTAAATTTCATGATGAAAGGACCAAAAGAAATGGCCCAAAATGACTAGGAAAAAAGTCTGGTTCCATTGACTTACATTAAAAGTAAAGTAGGTTTTTTTCCTTTTTCTGTACAGTTATCATCATGGAGATATGATGTTTTCTTCCGACAACAGCAAGATAGATACACACTCACACACACACACACACACACACACACACACACACCCCAGAATTCAAAAGTTTTCACTCAAATAAAAAAAAAAAACCTACAAATTTGATGCAGATATATGTATAAAATGATTATTATTATAGTCTACAACCACAACTTCACAGATTTCAACTCATTAACTGGTAGCTGTGAAAAGTAAAGAATGATTCTAAAATGACTAAGAAATGTAGTTATACTAAAAAATTAATATCCAGAATTCCTTGCATTTGACAGCGGTGATCAAATCTCACTTCTCAAAAAATATATATAAACAGATAATTACAGTATATTTTAGTATGTGCTGCCAAAAACTTCAAATACAGAATAAAATGTCTCAAACACCTTCTGAACTCTAATTTATAGTATTTTAATCTACCTTAAATAAGTTATTACTAAATAAAATTGCAGTAACCTTTAATAGGACAAGTAATTTTAAAAGTTAATTACGACATATAGTTTTCAGTTGCTGACCAGCGGGCTTGTGCATTCGGAATCAGCTAAGAATGGAATCGGCCCATCTTTGCTCTAAACAAACAATCAGCCAAATTATTTTTGCTACGGCTGATCTGTCTTGTAATTTATGATAATAATGTAAATAATGTGAGGCAGGTAAGTGCCCTTACCTTGGATGCTGCTGCTACACCCATACCAAAACGTATTAGCACCTCTACTGTCAAGTGCTCAGCATATGTGAAAGTTGCGATGGAAATATAAATCTGATTAAAGCTATCTGGCACTCTTCCTTCCTGTCCTTTCACTGTAAAGATAGATTACACATGGACACAAACACACACTGAGAAAAAAACGAATTCCTTTCAGCTTCTGTAAGTGCCTTTCTTTACAGTGCAGCAGCTGACCAGACCAGACTCATACCCCCTCCCTCACTTCTGCAACTTCACTCAGACAGAACATTAGGAAGCCATGACGTCTTCATACAGCCCCAAAAACCCATCAGTCTTTCTCCTCATTTCCTTCTGAGACCCTACGTGTCCCTATGCTCCAAACTCCTCTAATCAGTGGCTCTACCAGGCACGACTACTCAGGCATTCAGACTACATGATCACTTCAAGTACTGTAGGTCTGTCATGATTACTCAATTTTAAAAACGATTTACTGAAATCTACCTCCTTAATGAATCAGCAATAATGAACTGGCAATTTGCAAGCTAATGTATGTCACGTTGTTTTTAAATATGCTTTTAAATTTAATCTTTTTATAACTTCTTAGTTTATTATATTCCTATTAAAGTATTCTGGAATATTTAAAAAAACATTGTTCAGTTAAGTCTATTTTTATTGTCTAAAAAACAATTGATTAGTCATTAATCAGTATTAATACAATCAATATTAACAGCTTTAAGGATTTTTCATCCATTCTAGCAGCCTCCTAAATAAAGTATTATGAGTAATTTGGGAACTAAAGTTAATTTACGTATTTATGAGAGTGAAAAACTTAAGTTGTGGGTTGAACGAGGTGAAGTTTAAGGGATTAAGGTATCTGAGCAATTCTGCAATGGAGAGTGGGAGTCAGTAAAAGACAGACAGACAAACATAGACAGGAAGACGGACAGACAGACAGAAAGACATGGATTCTTAACTCCAGTGCCACTCTGGCCACTGAAATTTGGGATTTGGTTTGAGCATCAGATTAGAGGTGATCTCCAGCTCCACTACAGAGCGCAGGCAGGCCTTTGTTGTTTTCTGGCTTGATCCACTCACCTTCATTACCCAAAGCAGCTCTCTCCTCCTACACTGCCTTCACTGACAATTAAAGAAGCTCTCCGTGCCCGCCACAGATCCGTAATAGGGATTTTCCACTAGGCTTAGCAAGCGGCGACTTGTAAATTAATACTTAACGAGTATTAGCGAGAAGCCCGTGGTGAGGTTTGAAAAACGGCTTCGGGTCTTTTGGGGAAAAATAAAAATCCATATTCCCTTGATGTCTTAAGCTGAGCGTTCAGATTGCAGAGTACACAAGATGCAACCAAGCGGATGAGCGGGAAAAAAGGAAAAGTATAATGTGCTGCATCTTGGTTTTTCTTTCTGATGTTTAATAGAAAGATATTTTGGACTACGTATCACTATATGAGCATCTCCTATGTTTTAATCTTCTATGTTTAAATGTTCAGTTGCCTGGGATATTATTTAGAGCTTTATGTATGGAAGAAAAATATTTCTTATCCCAGTTGTGTGGGAATTGTGAGGGAATATTGGCCTTTGCTGTGTGTTATGCATCTTGATCGCACTTATAAAGGGTACATATAGGAAAAAGTACACTCACCTCTTTGGCCTGCTTCCCTGCTTGCTGCTGCTGGCTGAGAAGCTGAAGATGCAGCTGCTCTTGCTGTTTCTTATAGTACTCCTGCAGCTAGAGAGAGAGAGAGAGATGGAGAAAACGAGAGATTAAGATGGATGATATTTTGCTTAACAGATCTTGTTGGTCAACTATAATTACGCATTTCTTTCTGAATACCACTGCTGTCAAAACAACACCTCATTATAATTTTTTATTTTCTTGCACCTTTTAAAAACATCAGCTCCCTCTTACAATGCGTTTCATGATGAGTGGACCAATAGAAAACACCCAAATTAGTTGGAATAACATCCCATTACGTCAACAAACGTTCTCCTATAAGGTTAGCATTTGAGAGATACAAAGTTGCGGTACAACTCGGACTATAGTTGAATTCAAGTCCATTAGAGGCGAACCTGAGTCAAGACCAAGACCTGGACACATCAAGTCCTTTTCAAGACTGAGAACAGGAGTGGCGATACCGAGACAAGTCCAGATTAAGTTTTATAGAATATAAAGAATATAAAAAGAAGAAAAGGGGAAGTTTTTAAAATTTACTTGTAGTTCATTGTACATTCAATATAATTCATTATACACATATACTATTATATTTTATAAAATATTTTGAATAATATAAAATGAATTTATATTATCTTAGTCCAACTTTTGTAACTTATTCACAAGCCACCTCCTAAAGTGAAATGAATATAAACCAAACAACAAACATCCAATTTTATTATTAAATGAAATATATGCCAAATCGGAAAGTCATATTATTTTGTAACCAACCAAATACTACCCAGTTAAACCAACACGGAAAAAAACATTAATTAGATCGTCAATCGGCAGAAATTATTGTTGTATTATTGATATTAAATAATAGAAAAAAGTTCAGTTTCCAATGACCTCAGATGTAGGAATCACATCACGACTGGTCTCAAGAACAATTTCCGGGTCCACTTTCCCTCAACATCAAGACAAGACTGAGTCAAAATGACGTTGTGACTGAAACCGAAAATGTACGCTCTCAAGATCGAGACCGGACTCGAGTACTACAATACTAATGCTGACATTATCCAACCTACCTCAGTCTACACCAAGAACAGAGTGCAGACAAATCAAACACAGAGTATAACAGTGATAAAGCCTACAATATAAAAATGCAAGGGAAAAACACAGTTAAAAAAAAGTTCACCAAGGCCGAGACCTTTAAAGAAAGAGTGGTAGGCTCGTTCTTTTAAAAACGCCCGCATGCTTCCTCTTCTTCATACAAAAGCCAACCATCCTGTTTTCGTTCTTTTGTTAAAAACCAGACAAAGCTCGAAAAGCAATCAGAAAACAGGCGCGTGGGTGCTGGTGTTCTTGAGGAGTGGAGATTTCAGACTATGTCACTACTACCAGAAGCATCCTCTCCAACACAAAAACAGAGTGTATAGAAAGGGTACACAAGTCGTCTTATTCAAACCCAGAATGAAGATTTTCTAGTGTCTATTAGGTGCTGACCATTATTTTGTTTGGTCGATAAAACATTAAGATTACATGTACTTACTGGTATCGATAAAACACTTCTAATAAATGGCTTGTTTTATAACGAGCATGTTGACATGAAATGATATTCATTTGTAGAATGTTTTACAGTTTCATGCTGTTATGCAAATCTTCACAAAGACTGCTAAGCTACACTTAACCAACCACTCACAATATTTACATTAAGATTTTGTATTTCTGCCATTTATTTGAATTTAAGAAATTTGACAAGTGAGAGCAACCACTGACCATTAACAGCTAACAAGAGACAGTCGGTAAGCACTATTTAACTTAAAAGCATCAGAGTTTTTGTTTTTTTCATATCAGTTGGACCATAGTACCTAGAGAAAAGCTTTTGAGGGACCTAGTCAGGAAAAAAAAAACAGCCTTGCATGATAAAACAAGTTTGATTCTTGCTTAAGGGATGAAAGGTTTCCACCAGAAAGACACATCAATTTTTTTCTGTGCTTTCGGTAAAAGTGGAGAAGAAGCACCTGGCGAGGGGTGTTTGGAGGCAATCTGTAAATCTTCCCGTAGACGTGGCACACCTGACAACATACAAGCTTCTTTATATATGACTGACTCAACTTCAGCACCTGTCCCAAGAGAGCTTTGGGATGAGTCGACTTTTAAACTGATTTGAGACAATATTTTCAGTTTATGATACCTGAAGGTTGTGAGGGATTCGCCTAAGGGGAACTGATTCTAGATCAGTATAGAGGGGCTGCCATGGAGCAGTGAGCAGTTAGAAGATACTTGGTGAGCAATGGTGCCGTGACATAACTACTAGTAGTACAGGAAGGGCACTAATACTGGGGGCTGTGGGTCAGAGGCATAGTGGGGGGCAAGTGCAATATTGCTTTCTGCATCACAATTTTATATCTAAAAGTTATAAGTAGCTAAAAACTTAGAGCACAATAGAGCATACACAAACAAATGTATTTTTTATTGCATATTTTCATACACTACCATTCAAACATGTATGTACTCATAGAAAGGTTTTCATTATATTTGTTGCCCATAATTTAGAATAAAATAATTTAGTCTATAAGGAATTATGTAGTGACCATCAGTTAAAGAAATGTGTTAAACAAATCAAAACTGTCCCCTATTTTAGATTCTTTTCTCTTAGGCAGCTTCATGAGGAGACTGTTTTTTCAATAGGCATCAAGAAGATATACATATGCCAAGAACATGCTTTTGCTGAAAACCACTTGTTGGAGGCATTTGAAATATACATTCATATGCAAAAGTTTGGATACTCCTGTTAAATGGCATGTTTTGTTGATTTTCTATGTTAACAAATCCTTAGTTAACTAACATGGAAATGTCTGCACATTCAATTTATCTGCTGAATGTAACACACAAAATATTTTATATTATTAATTTTAATAATATATTTTATTATCTTATATAAAATACTATATTTTTCTTTTGAAAATAATTTATTACAGAATTTTGCATTTGGCTTAGACACAAATTTCATTCGCAATTCATCTTAAGCTTTTAGATTGAAATGTCCTTACAAAAAAAATCATTATAAAAATGCATATTTGTGTCCAACAAGCTCCTATATGATCTCCCTATTACACTAATGTCACCCTATTCCAGCCAGGTAGCTCTAAGTTAGGTTGGTCTGTTCTTTTAAAACCATGTGCTGAAGATTTTAATACTAAAAAAGACTGTTTGATGGTATAATCACAGGTTGGGAGACCAATCTGAAATGAATACATTAAAAATGCTGTATCTCACTAATGGTTCTACAAACACTATTAGTCATATACAGTATAATTATCATGTGTTACCTTTCAATGACCTTGCATACACATGCACATACACACACACACACACACACAAAAGCCCAGAGGTAACAGACTGTGTGGCATACACACTGACACCTAGTTTCTGAGAAACAGCTCGATGTGTTTGCCCTGGGGGACAGGAGGAGGTTGGTTAATAAAGAACACGAAAGTGTGTTTACACGCTGGTTACTGATTTAAAGCTCAACTGAATGAGCCGCGATCTTTGTACACAGGTAAACACCGCCGTGTGTGTCTTATCACAGGGAAACACTTCAGAGCGACACACCTTGCCAACACAGATTACAGCCTTGGGGAGATGTGTGTGCGTGCGTGCATGCATGCATGCATGTGTATGTGTGGGACTGGTGTATGAAGAGTGCGTTTCATTCTTCTGAACAATGGAAGGTAAATACAGAGACTGTAAAAGTATACAGGTGCCAATGAAAATAAGGTTGTTCATCAATGCAGTTATTTATTAATAAAGCCAAGGAAACCGTGTTGAGAAATTCTGAGGCTTGATGAAACAGGTTAACCAATGTCATCATTTGTTCCTCAGTCAAGAAAAAAAAACTGAAAATAGTTCTTAAAAATCTCTAAAATGCCTTTAAATTCAAATACTTTAATATTTAATAACAGAGCTACACATGCATTTGCTATATATTTCCTTGTTAAAATAAATAATTTATAAATAAACAAACACATAAAAATAAATACAGATACACATAAATTTATGTAATAATGAATTAATTAAATATATTACTTTATCAATACAAAATAATGCAACTATACATATTTTCCACATTTTGTGCCTAAAACTATATTAATAGAAATAAATACATAAAATGTGTAATTTAGGTAATTTATAAATAAAAAGTAATTTTATGAAAAATCTTAAATTAATTAATTAATATTTCCTGTCCTGTTATGCTAGGGAATTTACATTTTGCTTTGCAGGGCTATCGCACCAACATGGCTGCACAGTCATGCCACATCTCCTGCTGCAGCGCTCCCCAAAACCACAGTGACCGCAGCATGGCCTGGTGCTGTTTGTTTTCCTTTCAGATTATTAATTTACCCAGGAAGCCCCATTAAGATTAGAATCTCCACTTCGTATGGATGACCTGTCCGACACGGAAGAGTGTGTTGGCCGGGGGCATAAAACAGGGGGGCATTTGGTGGGGCCACTGGCTGGTACCTCAGGGATGCCAGTAAGAAGAAGAGGGGAGAAAATGTTACAACAATAAGCTCATTAGGTCCTGCTTATTCACTGTATGAAAACAGAGGGTGTCACGTGGATCTACAGTTACTTGGCATGGAATAACCTTGTGGTTGCATATGGTTGCAAAACCTTTTTTTGAATGAATGATATTATTTTGATTCCTCCCGCCTTGTCAAACTTGATTGTTTAAATAGCAGTGTTGTACCCTGGTTCATATTCCATTGAGGGACCTCCACCTCAGGCCAGAAAGAGCTGTCTGCTTTATTGCTTAGTCATGGCCTCCATCATTGTTAATGCATCACTTAAGGAAAGCATAGCCAACTAGAAGGGTGTTCACTCATCACATTTTTTTGACAGCCATTCATCAGAAGGCCAACTGGCCTAAAGTAAAGGGGTTGGCCAGGAAGTCCAGGCCATAAAACTCAGACAGGATGTCTATGCAGGAGACAGCAAAACCCCTAGTTTATTTTTTCTTCATCTTTTTCTCTCCTTTCCTTGTGAAGCTTCGAAGAAAAACTTTTCTTGGG